TTAACGATAATTAATCGGGAAAGAAATTAGATAGCTTCAGGCAAATTAAAGGCGAAGATAAATCCATAATTATGATTATTTCGTAAAAGCGTAGGAATGAATGTTCTAAGTTGGACAACTAAGAAGCTAGACTTTGCCCCGATTCCCACTTGTTGAATTTTCAACGCTAGATTTATTCTATGTGTATTACTGAATGAATTATTTATTCTTCGTCATTTTTACCGAGGACATTCATGCATTTTTAAAAAATGGTGATGCCTCTTATCCTCGCTTCTAATGTCGTTCCCTCAGCAGAATTCAACGAGATCCGCCACATTTCTATCACAACTGAATTTCAACATTAATCATTTTGGAGATTAAGTGCAACTTCAAAATTTAACCGACCTTAATTTACTTTTAATTAAACGAAGGCCAAGATCTTGCTATTCACTTACACCTCTGCAATTTAGTTCACGCAGAATCGCTTATTTCCGATTCGTAAATAGAAATGTAAAATTACCATCAGATTCAAAGTTACGATTACTTTCGGTAAAATTATGGTAAGATGGTAATTTATTTGTAATTTTAGTAAAATTCGTTGTTTTTGATAGTTTCACAAGTTGCACAAATAGGCTATATTTATGTTCTCCACACTAATGCATAAAATAAAACAACATTCCTCTTACTTCTCATGAACTAAATATCTGATAATCTCTAAAATGTTTTTCAGATGAAAGAAAAGAAACTATTTACTAAAGTGTAAAGTGTAAAGTGTTTTATTTATTTTTAAAGCTAATTCTTTTGAGCTTTATACCAAAATTTGTTATTCCTGTAAATTTTTCTAAATTATTATTTTACCATCACTTTCCAAAATTATCGGATAATTTTTCGTAATTTACCGAGTAATTTGCCGTCAGATTGAGGCATTTTCATCTCTGGCTGTGGCAGAAGAAAAAGATCGAAATCGCGACGTTCTCGTTGAGAAGGGATTTCGAGAGCGCCCATTTGCGTTTTCGCGCTATCTAATGCGCGATCTTCCGAGTAACGTAAATAAGAGTAAAATTTACCGAAGGACCCAGGAGAATTCACAGTCGCCGGGCGACAAAAGAACGCCGTTGGGACGGGTGGTGAATGGTGGTCGTCGGCGAAAGGGTTAAGCGATGCAAATTGCGAGCGTTGCTGCGAAGCGCGTCATTCCCGCGCACGTATTTTCCCGACCTAGCCGACCTTAAGGCGACACCCTCGATTAATAATCCCGGCTGCAGCATGCTCTACTTTCAACGGCGCATCGTCGCATCTGATGACTCGAAAGTAGGCCGTTGGCCTTCGTTCTGTTTCGCCGTGAAAGCGCCGAAAACGACGCCGCTGACTTTGAGCCGAGTGTAAGCTCCAGCTCGAGTTGAGAACTTTATCAACGTAGCCGCGGGAAATGATCCAGAAATGTGTTATATACACGGTGTCCCGCTATTTTCCTTCCATCGTACTACGGCGAAGTTCATTTCCAGCCATTAACTGGATTTCCTCGCGGGCACGATTCGACGGTATCGATTTCCCAAACTGTCGTTGTCGCGACCGCCCATTTGAAATATCTCGATAATCCAAAATACCGTAAAGTAAAATCTGAACACAGCCCCGTGTATGAATCGCCATCGTATAAGTCTCAGATAAGAAGTTTATGCGTCGTATCTTTCATAGGGCCATAAAACTTACCGATCTCCACGTAAAGAGAGACACATCGTTGGTAGCGACATTTTATCAGGGGGAGAGGGGGGAGAAGGATGCAATCAATTATAACATAAAGGCATTTCTAACATAAAGAAGATACGGGGACTGCAGCGACGAATATACGTCGCATACAACACGAACGTCGAAAAACGCGCGTGTATGCGCGCGACAGCTCGTCCCGATTTACGGTCAAAACTCCGCGCCAAAGGCGGGTAAATTTGGGAGGAGACAAGTTTCTACTGCAGACGCGTTGATTTGTCGATGCCGAGTGCCTGTGAGATATGGCAAGTGCCTGAGACCTGCTGAACTGCTTTTCGCCTACAGTTCGATGATCTTCAAGTCAAGATCCCTCTTGCGAGAACGCCGAAGAATCGACAATTCTTAAACTGTCTCAGAGGGATTAAAAAAAAATGGAAGAAACTAAGTTTCAATAAGAATGATGAAGGATTATTATTATTATTTGCTTTTATTGTCGTTGTCGTTGTTATATGAAGGATTTATAATTTATAATTATTTTAATTATTATTTTCTCAGTTTAATTATTGATTTATAATGATTGTTTTCTCAATCACGATTACAAATATTTACGTTAACTCTTGATAAATAACGAGACTTGTATTAATAATAATAATCAGGTTGGTTTCATCAGAATTTGCGATGCAATTTAGACAGCGTGAGTTCTATTTCGATAAATGAGCCTGATTACGATTACCTCAAGCGACTCCGGCGTATACATCTCAGGGGTAAAAGGGTTAATTATGAAAAACGTCATTTCGTAGGCTTGCGGTAGCATTGTTTCTCCGCTGAGTGTTTAAGATAAGGTTTGTAAAATACAACCGTAATATGAAGAAAGGCGCACGGAGTATTAGTCGCTGCGCGGTTTGCTTAATTGCAAATCGCAAGTCTCAACGGATAAAAGCATTTGCATTAGAACTCCTTAGGTTGCCGGTCCAATTTATGATAATTTCTCATGCTCTTGGTGCTCCTTAACGCTGCGAATAATAATAAATTTCTCCATACGATACAATCTCACTTCAGCTCGTGTATTTACATTCGATTATTATTATTTACTCTTACGCTCCGCACCAATATTGCCGTAATATTTCCTCGCACGATTCATATTTGAAAGTGATTTTTTTCCCAATTACCAGAGAGATACAATATCAGGTGTGTTATTTAATTCGCCATTTAACTGACACACACTTTAAAACAATAGAGGCTGAAAAATCGATCGATAACTCCGTTGCTTTAAAACCGGTAAATTTCTATCACAGTGGAATTCGTCGACTGCCCGATAAATGGTGAGACGTCACCGGTAATAACAAAGATTATTTTTGGATGTAATTGAAGTTGTACACCTTCCGTATTGATAAATGAATCTTCGATCGTTGGTAAGGAAAGCCCCGAATTAATTCACCCGTCTAATACTTAATGAAATAGATTCCGCGTTCATAGTTGGAAAATGCTTCTAACGAATAAAATCGGGCGTTCTAACGAATAGGAACAAGTGGACGAACTCGTGGCGAAGTGGCGGGCATAAATTTCCCAACGAATAATCCTCATTTCGGTAGATAAGGCGAATTCCCGTCCGCGCCGGCCTAATCTACGTTTCGCCGTAGAGAAGTGATTAACAAATCAGCACTTCGGACGGAAGACGGTCGGATTGTCGCGCTGAGAACTCGGTCTTGGGAGCAACCCTTACACCGTGGGCTTGAATTCGCGGATACGCGGGCCGTTATCTGAATGCTGAAACGGGTCATTAATAATTATGCGTTGACCCACTGCCGCCTTTGGAGGCTGCGCTGTTTTAGCACGCCTCTTAAGCTCTATATCCTACGGACGAGGCGAACGGCGCCATGCTGCACCTCACCGTGATTCACTGAACCGTGAATAAGACGGACGTTGTAATAGGTGAGAATTCTCCCTCCGACGTACAGCAGAACCGAGTCAATTTTAACGAAGCAGCCGCGCCGGTCGCGCCGTTTTTCAAATCGCACGAATAACCCACCCGTTGCTGGCCTCCCATTACCCGACTGGAATTCGGATTGTTTCATCCGCGCGTAGAGAGTAATAGCGAAAATATCAACCGTGACAGCGGCTAATGGAACAGCGACAATATTCCACGTCGGAATGTAAACTTTTTTTTCATCTCTGCCGAGATCCAATAGCAATTGCAAAATTACCAGACGCCGGAGATGAACGAATTCTCACGAATCGCACGGAGCCGTGCAAGCAGACGTTAAAAACTTTACTTCCTGTTGGTATCAAAGAGTAAACTTTACCGGATCCTCCGATGAAGCTCCAATTACGAGGGTATTTAAATTGCAAATGCAAAAGTCGCGAGCGCGTTGCGCTAGGCGCAAATTTTCCAGCGCGCACCGCATTATACCGCGTTATACCGGAAATTTTCAATTATCATCCCATCTACATTCGGCATGTTTTTATAACGCGACGTGCAGAGCTGATCTGCATGCGTCGCGCGGCGAATAAAGAATTAATCTCGCGGGGCGGCCACGTGAGTCTCATTATTTCGTTTAAGTGCCGCGTCAACGCGGAATGCGATATAACGGAACGTCTACCTGCGCAGGAGCAGCGCTGCAATAATAACCAACACCGATCTTCTGCCTAGATTAACCCAAATCGGTTACAGGCCCCGTGCGGCGGTCCCTTCAGGGCTCCAGAAGCTCTCGCGGCACGTGATTCCGCACGTTATAAATTTCCACCGAGGAAAGAGCTTCGACGTAATGTCTCGGATCGAGCATTATCTCTCGATTAATGCGTGCCGGAGCTCGCTTCTCTCGCAAACATTGAATTCGCGACGTCGTTAGCGAGATATTTATCGTCGAGGACGGCGTGGAAAGGTCGAGCTTGGGTAAACCGAGCGGTTCCGGGAAGAAATTCGCGTGACGCTTCACCTCGCATACCTCCTCCGAGACACCTCCGTGTGCAAACACGAGGGAAATGTTTTTCTTTTTTCTCAAAGATACGAGCATTTGTCACCCGAGAAAGTACCGTAATAGCCCTGCCCGGCTAGGATATATTCATAACGCCGAGACTATTTGAAGGCAGTGAGAGGAGATTTAGAAAGCAACGCGAACGACACGATCACGACTGCAAAATTCCTACGGATGTTTGGGGTTCGAAATTTTTTCACCTTAAGCACGGTGTCTCGGAGAAACGGTTGTAAGAGAATCGAGGGTAATCCATTTTGAATTCGCCCTCCTCATGCCGTCGGAGGGATCCCGCGGAGAGTCCCGGCCTTAGACAGTAAAAGCGCCCGCACGCTTCTGTTTCAGACGTTCTGCGTGGTGTCCAAGAGGTTCCGCAAGAACTACATCCATAGGTTTACGGCGACTAATAGTTGGTTCATATTCTCACCGTGGAATCCTATACGGCGGTGCTGTATCTTCCTAAGTACGAATCAGTACTTCGATTACGTGGTCATGGCTACCATACTTCTTAACTGCGTCTTCCTGGCCATGACCGAAACCGTCGAGGAAGCCGAGTAAGTATAGCCTGGCGCCTCATGATTATGCAGTAGCAATGACCAGTCGGTCAGCAGTGAACGGCCACGGGGTACGCGTTCCATTCGTACGACCGCACCACCAGTGAATCGTAACGTTCGCTTCTACCGTGATATCGCCGATTTGACTCGATTGTTATAAAGTACGAGGGATTGGGAAAAGAGGATCCAAGGTTTCATAGACGCTCGGTATTTACTTAGAGGAGTTTCGAATCGACGTAAGAACGTTCCGAATCACCGTAGTTACTTTACGACAGTCGAGATTAAATTCTTCTTCGACGCGCTCCCCCCTCCCCCCCCCCCC